GTGGGGCAAGTCTCCATGACCAAAAATATGACATTTAAAGTACAATAAATGGATAAGTTATTGTCCTTCAACTAAAAAGTAATTTTTATATTATTCTAGTGAAAGATATATACAATCAGTTTCTCTATTTTGTGTACAAATGATAACTAGGGATCAACATTGTACGAATTGATGTATTGGCTGACATAGTAGAACTCAATATATACAGTGCAATGTTCAAAAAGCAGTTCCCTTAGACTCCTTTATATCCAACGCGTGTTTTGCTACCATAATACAAGAATCTGCTTCCAGAGATGAAACTGAGGTTTTATCTTTGGTTGAAAGCTCCTTAGGTGAATTAAGCATTTCTGTTGTGCACTGCACATCTGGTGTTATCCCAACCTGATCTATGTCATAAAGGGCTGGTGATAGATATTTTGCTACTGTAACAAAGAGGGTTGAACCATCATGATGCTCAGTGACACTGCAATGAGAATGATACATCACGCGAAAAACCAAGATATGATGACAAAAATGTATGTGTACTCCTTCATTTTTTTCCATTTCCTGAATAGCATTCTTCATGTCTTCAGCAGCAGCCTGCCAATACGGAACAAGAAGAGTTTACAGATAGCTTGTATCAAGGGGTAATTGGGAATTATACAAAAATAGTTACATCTGTAATTATACAATTTATTTCTTTTGTTTTATTATTGAAGAAACACAAGTTACAACTAATTGGGAATTGAAAACTGAAAAGAAGAAGATTACAGAAACACAATGACAAGAAAAGAATGATAATGGCAGAAAAGAAAGACAGAATAGTGAAGCAACTAGAGAGGCTTCACAATCTCCCACGGTCCCAATTCGATATGCTCTACTTGTGTTTCTCTTTGGCGTGTGAAGAAAGGAAATGAGGGGAGGGGAGTTCCCTTCACAAGTCATAAGGTATCAAAACGGCAATAAAGAGAGACCTTGATTGGAACAATCTTCTCACCAGCATACATGTCTTGCCCTTCATAGGATCGAAATTCAGCCATATAGATGGTCATGTGGTTGGTTTACTTGAATTGATTGAGCAATCTGCCTAACAAAAGTCGGAGGTAGCTTTAAGTCTTTAACAATCCTTTTTGCAAACATCACCACCTCAGAATCCGGATCTATATTATACCAATTCAATCAATCCTAATCCAAATCCAAGTTCAACATATTTTCACTAGAACACACTGCATAAATTCCAACTTTTATTAGAAAAGATATATAAATAAAGCCTAACCTGTCCATTCATTACTCTTGGGGAAATCAATACCAACAATAAGATTGGAAGACTCAAGGCCTGTACGTGCAAGAGACTCAGTAACCTGTCACCAAATATAAAGCAATAGCACCATCAGTGAAAAAGGAATTTGAAAACTACATGAAAATATCAACACCAACCTAAATCATTTCTAATCACACAAAAATGCACTCTAAAGTAGCTATCACTATAGTTCTAAACTCATTGCCCAGTGCAGTGTTTGTGCCCAGATTCATCATCATGTATCCTTTTAACGCATGCCTGTAGCAATTTACATAGTTACTTTTCTCAGCCAAACAAGAACTTCTTTTGAATAACCAAAAAATAAGGCAGAACAAAAGTTTTCCAAGATTGATTCTTTATTCCAAAATATACTTGTATGAACTAAAAACCAAACAAATCTTAAAGACCTATTAGTGTACTAAAACCCAACCTTACACAAGAATTCAAAGCCAATAAAAAACAAGTTTTGTCTCCAATGATTTCTTAAGATATGTGCACAGTGAAGTACCTGAAGAAGGTAGCTTTGACCATCAACGGCATTCTTAATGACTTTGAAGGTCTGGCCGTAGTAAATATGGAAGTTTACAGCATCTTCCACCTTTGAAAAGTTTTTCACTGTAGTGTTTGCTCCATGAACACCTCCACAGTTAAAGAACCAAACCAATGCTAAAAAGAAAAAGGCTTGCAGCCAAGAACGAGAAGGTGCTGAATCCATGAGCTTAATGAGATACTTCATGCTATATAAAAATAATATGATGAGTGAATCTAATTATATATAGCATATTTGTTCATTGTCATTATTTTAATGCACTTTTAGGAGATAAAAAGCTATTTAACTTTTTGGGCAATTATCTACAGCTAAACTGCAACATTTTATTATCTTCTTAAAATGGTGCAACAAATTATCTGTGCATAGTACCTCGTACACATTTTGTTAGTTTGAGCAACATGGATCAGATTTTGGGACGTTATACTACCGCAGCCTATTGCAAATTAGAGGAATCCTCTATGCTGATCAGCAACTAATGCAAGGGGAAATAAGCAATAACTGGGTTGAAGCATATGCAGTGTCTTGACCCTGCCTATGAGACAGATTCGGCTAAATTGTTCAAAGGTTGCATGACAGTGTTGCCAAGAACAGATCCTGTCTCACAACTCTCACAACCCCAACACCCCTCTGATGTTTGGATGCGTTACATTTTAATTGCCAAATGTAAGTCTGGAGAAGTTATAGAAATTTTAAAATACCTTTGTGTTTTTCTGACACTCTTATCAAATATCTAAGCAAAAGCTGTAAGTCTACTATGATCCAAGCATCTTTGAGAATGAAACTAAAGATTTAAAAGTTGGCAAACAAGAAAGCTAGACATGTGTATATTGTAAGAAATCATTATCGATGAACAAACACCATGGATTCAATTCAAACAACAAACAGAAAGTGGGAAAAGAGGCACAAAATATTGAAATAAAACTGATTTCTATAACTTATATTGAAATAAAACATATGAAGCAAAATACCCATTTACATTTCTTCTCATCTCTTCAATTAATTTGATGTAAAAGACACAATCAAGAGAGAAAATGAGATAGACACGATACCAGTCCTCAAAGCAGAAGCAAAATTCGTGTAGCTAACCCTATCAACCTCGAGTTGGCTTCTTCGGCAACTCAACAATAACAAATGCAAGGAGCTTCGAATTTGCGAGCGATTGAACGAGCACGTAGCTCTATGATAGAGTGAATGACAAAAATTGGAAAATTAGGGTCAGATTTAGATCAAAGTGGACCAACCCGTTCCAGAAGGATACCGGTGCAGAAAGGGATCGAGCGGTGGGTGGTCAACATCTGAATCATTCGGCCGTTGGCGGTGGTCACAAGAGATGAAGAATCATGAGTCGAAGGTGGTGGCGAAATCAAAGAAGAGATTTGGGAATTTGGGAGCTAGGGTTCATGTGCTCAGAAATAAGAATATTGAAGTTAGGATTAAAACGTAAAAACAAAAAATGATTAAAGAAAAAGAAATGGATATGATTTGGTTATCCACGATATCCAAACCATTTGATAAATAGATAACCAAACCACGTTCAAAATTAAAATATGGATATATTTTTTAAACTGTTTAAAAACAACGGTTTTTTAATTTGGTTTGGTTCAGTTTTTAAAGTGGTTTGGATCATTTGAACATTTTGCACATCCCTAATATCGCCCAGAATTCCACAGTCAAAGGAGCACAAATCCCTATCCCATAGGTAAATCCTTTCATTAAGCTCCTCTGTCATCCCTAAAAAGACCTCCACAAGTCGATCTATTAGAGATGTTCATTACTGCCCCATCAATATTTAGTTTCCACCATTCCAAAGGTAGGGGCAACCAAACCTTAGTCTCAATGAACCCAAGGGAAAGGATCCGAGGGGTTTGACTCCCCACGGATACCTTAGTCTCAGAAATCAAAATAACCGAAATCAAGAATAATTTTAGAAACTATATTAATAACTGTATTCTCAGTACAAGGAAAACATAAATTCCCAAACACAAGCTTTGATAACATATGCAATCATTTATTAATTTGAATCTTCTTCAATGCCGGACCCAGGATTTTTCCTGTGGGGGGAGAAATCTATGATAAGAAAATACTAATCAATCTCAGCCAATGCATCATCATACAAATAAATAAGTACATTTTCCATCATTCCATGTCAGTACAAACCTCAACCCATGCTGCCTTTTAACTCAAATAAATATAAAGATTTCCCTTTCTTATGGTACTGGACTAAATAGAAATGCTCGAACTATAAAAAAGAAGTGTGCTGTGAAAAGAACAAAAGCAAAGATGAAATGGTAGCAGAGGACCAGTCACTTACAACATTATCCTAGAATGTAATGCACGTGCATGAGGAATTAGATTAGATGCAGATTTACCAATCTCATAGCATCAATAGAGGAGCGCAGCCTTTCCTTTCTCTCACGATTGCACTCGCCACACCAGCTGGAGAAATCTTTTTGATATCGTTTCATCTCTCTAAAGACAGAACTACAATATATATCTTTAAATTAATGAACAGAGAAAAAAAACTTAAAGTGGAAAATAGCATTCCAGCTTGATGCTGCAATTAGGCAATCAGAATGAGATTTCTGCCACTATTCCAACACAAGTCATTTAGGAAAATTCATTAATAAATAAAGCAGGAAAACTTGGATACAAAACATTATCCCAAATATTATCACAAACTCATCAGACAAACCAAAGTAGCAACGAAGTCAAGCAACAAATGAAATCACCTTCTGCACCAAAGAAGTAGGTTGACCAGATGAGGCAGTCACACCTCTTTCCTAAAAAAAATTATAATTTTTGGCCCAGGGGGGGGGGGGGGGGAGTTTCCGCTCCTGTATGTACATGTTTAAATGTCTATATATTTGTCAGAATACACAAAAAGAGTCATGGAAACAATAAAAAAATGACATAATTTTTTAACACAAAATCACTCGAGGCAGGAGGACTAACCGTTAGAAATAATTTCAGCTCTCCTTTACTGTTGTTTTATCCCCAAGAAAAACTACTTGAAAACCTTTAGTACAATTATGGAGCTGTAACAATAAAATAAAAAAATAATTGTCAACACACAATAGGATATAGCATTAGATAAATTGATTTCAACTGAAGCGGTAAGGTCTTCCAAATAAAAATGCCCATCCTCAAGCTGAGATATTACTTCCATTACCCATCTTCTACCTGTTTGCCCAACCAGAGATTGAATAGGAGATATCTGACAAACACAACATATCATAAAATTACATGTTAATTCTCCTCAAAAACACCAAATGGAATTCATTCATTGAATGCACAGTTCTCAACATTTGGTAATATATAACAAACTAATGAATTAGAATTTTTATGGCAAATCCGAGCATCCAGCAGTAATAACGAAAAGGTAAGCTGATGCTTAGATATCCTCAAAGTCATTATCTTTGCATGCTTGAAAGCAGAGGATTATGCATAGATATCCTCAAAGGCATTATCTTTGCATTTTTCTGGAGCATCAGATGATAATTCTGAGCACCGGATGTTGCCATTCGACATGAATGGAAACTTTCCAGTTGTTGGAGATGGCTGTGCCTGAAATTAGAAGGATTCATAACTCAGTAGGAAGCATAACAATTTCAATAGAACCAAGTTTCAATTTCCAACAACAGCATATTGACCACTATTGGTGCCTCTAGCAGAAAGTAAAATGAAAAGTGACAACTTAGGACTCTGAAAATTACATTTGACACCATGTGTAAGAGTATTAAAAGTGCCTCATCACAAGAGATGCAGAGAAGCATGCATCCAAGTGGTGTTTATAACATCCAAGTTAGACATTAAAATTACAACATTAAAATTACATAAAAGAATTAAATACACAGCCATGCATAATGTTGTCTCTGCTATCAGATGTATGTATCATGAGCATTAATGGTTTGTGCTTTGAAGAGCAGCATGCTAGCATCTGCATCTAGGATCTATCCAATATCCCTTCCATTATTTCCGCCTTTTTCTTTCAGAGAGGGAGAGGCCATAGAAATCCATCAGAATTCCACATCAAGCAGCAGCCATCAAAGCATAAAAGAAATTTTACACAACAAGGTCGAGCAACTTCAGAGAATACATAACAAATTTTGATAAACAAATAAACAAGCTAAACCAAAAATGCACCTCCCCACTATTTAAAACATAGAACTCACCAGCGAATTTGCGAGGACCACAGGAGAATCTATAAGTGTAGTAGGACTGAGTCCAGGTGGTAGGGTCAAGTATGGAGACTGAATTTCAGAATTAAGTGAAAGGTCAGAAGATCTAATGCTTTCTGTATTCAGCCTTGGAGCATTAAACCCATCTCTAGCAGCCATTCTTTCAACAAGACCACCCCGTGAGCTCGACCCTCGGTCCGAAAGCTCGAGTCAGTCAAGTGGGCACAAGAATCACCATCTTGTGCCCTATCTTTCATCTTTCCTTCCCCTGTCTCACCAGGATTATGAGTTCCCATAAAGAGATCCCCAGTTCTATCAAGCTGAGCTAGTGAAGCGAAATAATATGGAATATAGCTCACACCAACTTTCTCCCCACTATACTTTAGGAGAACAAACTTCATACTTCCATTCTTCTTTACGGGGGGACAGAAACCATTAACTTTTTCTTCTCTGAAGAAAGATCCCATTACAATCAAAAGGTCACTTGTACCCAAAAGAAATAAAAAATAAAGTTATAATTCATTACTAGTGCTCATGACTTATACTTGACACCAAAATAAGGTGACTTGTGGGGATGTGAGACTCTCAAAAACACTAAAAACAGGGAAAGAATGATAAAAAGTCAAAGTGAAAAATAAATAAATCCAATCATACATGGCATTCAGTCAAAGTAATTAGCTCTTTCTGTACAGATAAATTCGCCCACTATGTACATGTATAAATGTCTATACATTTGTCAGAATATACAAAAAGTGTTATGGAAATAATAAAAAAATGAAATAATTTTTTAATACAAAATCGCTCGGGGCAGGAGGACTACCCCTTAGATATATCATAGTATCTCCTATATATGCGATCTTCAACGGATACGGTTGAAATTAGCAAAGGGATCAGTTTTTGCCTTTGATGCTGGTGGTTTGCACGTTTCTGGGGTTCCAAAGACCTTCCAAAAACGCAGTTCCTGGTCCCCTGTTGTAGTCGTCACCGTACACCCATCTGGACTTTGTGTCATAAACAGCACCCTGGAGGTATTACCAGTGAGCTCTGCCCTCTTCACCATAGAAGGACATTTTCAAAGAGTGAGCTGGTTACAGGTTGAACCATGCGAGCTAAGCAACTCACGCTCATTCTTGTTCCACAACAGAGCGCACACTTGAGATCCTGTGTCAACAGAGTTCAAGCATGCACCAGTGTTTGTGTTTCAAAACCTAATGCACTGATCACCCGCACCTCCACCAGAAGCTAGTATATTTCCCCGAAATGGACACCAAGCCAGTGCCTTTACAGCATCTCTGTGCTCCTCAAGCCTATGAAGCCAACGAGTTGTTGAATTGGGAGAGGCCATGGATCTGTCCCATATATGAATAAGATTATCATTGCCTCCACTCACCAATTTCTTTCCCGAGGCAGACCACTTCAGCCCACACACCCCCTGTTGATGTCCACGGTAGGTTCCAACAATGTGAGATCTTACTCTGACATCATTGTTAACA